GATACAAATCCTGACCTGACCGGGACTGACCTCATTCACGTAGTATAAGATAGCGAAGCAGAATGCTAGGATGCTAATGACTAGCCCAATCAATGTTTGAACGCAGACCAAACATGCATCGTGTCCATCACAAGGTGTGAAGGAGCCTGGCGCTGTACACAGGAAGAAAGCGCCAGGTCCAGACATTCACAGACGAAGAGGAGGGGATCAGACGAAGAGAGGGGGAGAGATGGGAATGTCGTCAGCACCAAGTCTTTGTCACAAGTCGCAAATAATCCCTCGTCGCAATGTCTGAAGCCCAAAAGTCGAGTCTGGATCCAATGTCACCAAGCTCTCTCTCTCTCTCTCTCTCTCTCTCTCTCTCGTAGTCCGCTGATGCAGTGAAGTCAGATAATGAGAGGGTGAGAGGGAGATGGTGGACTGAGAAGAGGAAGAAGAATAACTCTCTCTCTGTCACGAGCCAGATACTAACCTGTGAAGTTGGCGCTGTGCTGCAGGTACCTCGAAGACGAAGCTGGAGCAACGGCGCTGCAGGTAAGTACCTCTGGCCTCCGCCCAATCTCTCGCTCTCTCTAGTGTTATCCTAGCTATGGCGCCCAGCGCTGAAGACTACAGCTACCTACTGCGCCCAGCGCTGAAGACTAACGCTAATGCTACTACTACTCCTGCAGCGCTCCCTCCAGAGTGCTGCTGCCGAATCCTGAAGACTACTGACTGCCTCCTGCCTGCCCGTGAAGTGCATGGGAAGTCCGCATGTACTACCTCGGCCTGCCTCCTGACTGCCTGCAGGGTGAGCCAGGCCGAGGAGGCTGCTCTTGCCAATGCCGAAGTGTGCCAGGGGCTTGCGCTGCAGCATCTGCTGAGGCTGTCGTGGGAACAGGCTAAGAATAGCCTGTTCCCGAAACCCTGGTTCGGTGCCTGAGTTTCAGGGCTGATCGTTCTGATGAACGACCGAAAATGGCCCTTCGTTTCAGGCTAAAAAGGCTCCTGCCATTTTTAGTCTGAAACGACACAGGGTCTGTAGGCCCCTGTTTTTCAGTCTTTCGGGCTGAACAGACACGGGGCCTGTAGGCCCTGGTTTTCAGGCTTTCAGCCTGAGGGACGCAGGGCCTGGAAAATGCCCCTCGTGTGCAGGTGCAGCATGTAACAGTGTGTGTGTGTGTGTGTGTGTGTGTGTGTGAGAGAGAGAGAGAGAGAGAGAGAGAGAGAGAGAGAGAGAGAGAGAGAGATTGTTGTGGGGCTGTCGCTGGGTGTTATGTCTGAAGTGCATGACGGAGTCAGACTGCTCCCAGGTGGTAGATTGCCTGAAGTCTTCCCTTGTGCTCTATGGTGTCTGTAATCTGTCTCCGTTTATATATTGCACTGGCTGTTGGTGCCCCAACATGCGCCGAGTCCCTTCCCTTGTGCTCTATGGTGTCTGTAATCTGTCTCCGTTATATATTGTACTGGCTGTTGGTGCCCCAACGTGCACTGAGTCCCTTTGTTTTCCTGTACTTCTGGGCCGTTCTGGCCCTCCAATCTAGCCTCCGTTTATCCTGTGTGGATTGACACCAACTTCTCACCCCCGGTCGTTGGCCGCCATGTAACCATTTGCCTCACACTCTGTGCGTCAATCCACGTCATCGAATGTATGCAGATATTGTGGCGGTGCCATTTGAGGTGCACACACATCGCGGCAGTGGCAATGTTAGTGGCTGTTAGTGTTTTCTTCTTTCGTTCGTCTGTTTCTCTTGTTTGTTTGTTTGTTTGTTTGTTTGTTTGTATGTTTGTTTGTTTGTTTTTTGGTTTGCCGCTCTTTTCTTTTTTCTAGGTGCCCCAAAACCATTGCGTGACGGCAGTGGGGAAGGCCTTTTTGCCTGTGTTGCTCTCGTGCTGCCCCTGAAAATCATCTAGTTGCAATGGCCAGCCCGACTGCTGCTGCAGCCCAAAATCGTTGCACCATGGGTGCTCATTCCTACAGGCCTCAAAATTGTCGCGGCATCGTACACACACACACACACACACACACACACACACATCCCGCTCAACCACACAAACATGGGGAACCTTGCACCTTCTATTATATTGGTCATCTATACTTTTGTGAGGATTGAGCCCTCAACGGCGCCTTGCCGGCATGCATATGTTCTGGGCATAGGCCCCCAGCATAAGGGGCGCAACTGTATTACCTGGGCCCCATCTGCATTGGGCCTGGGTACAGGTACTGGGGCCCAGGCGCAGGCTCAAGGCAGACCGCCCACACGCAACACTGGATATAGGCAAAGCAGGCGAGTGGGCAGGCATCTTGGCGTTTGCGTGCAATGCCGGCACGCTGCAGCGTTAATGCACGTGCTGGAGCAGATGCAGCGCTAGGAAGCCAGGCTGGCTCTAAGCGGTAGAGCGCTGCTTGGCGCATGGCGCTGGCAGCCATAGCCAGGCTGCATGAGGGCGCTGGAGGAGGTGAGGGTGAAGGTGGTTCTTCGGGAAGTGAAGGGCGCTGTGTGGGATAACAAGGGAGAGTGAGGGACAAGAGAGAGTGACGTACCTGGTGGAAGAGGAGGTCGGCATTGGTGTTGACGTCATCACTAGCTGGTTGTCAAGTCGTCTGGTTGCTTCCATGACTGTAGTTGTAGAATAGGCTGTAGAGTAGATAGGGCGCCTGGCGCCATTCAAGACAGAAGGCTACTTCGGGTTATGTTGTTGGTGTTGCCCGATTGGGCTTGGACATTGACTCATGACTTTTGTTGTATTGTTCTCAAATGGATGATTGCTCGGTTCCAATGTGTTATCTGTTCTTGCTTTGACTACCTGGACTTCAGTGTGATTTGCAATTGGGATTTCTTTGCTTCGTCCACATTCATGTTCCTTGCAATTTGGTATCAGAGCTGGTTCGATTCGCCGCTTACCTTGGTGCGCTGGCGTTATACAGACTTGGTGCGTTGACGATGCTGGTTCGCAGTTGGTTCTTGTGACATCAGGCCAAAACTAGGCGCACGACCTGAGTAGAGAGGTGTGCGCCGGAAGGCTATACGGCTTGGGATGCCGTGGCGACGGCGGAATGTATGCATGGTGATGAGAGCATGCTGATGTGGCATTTGGCTGAGGTGGCACTGCATTGCGTTGTGGGTGGTACCGAGGCTACGACCGGTCATCAAATGCACACTCAGCTCAATTGGTGAGAAATCTGTGGTTGGGGGCAGCTATCTACAGGTACGTTGATCCTGTACCTTATCTACCCTCTCAATCTCTTCTTACCGCGAGGAAGTGAGTCCAACTTGAGAGTCCTCTCTTTTGGTGAGGTGTTGTGAGCGCTCTACCTTGAGAGACGACAATCTTCCCGGTGGCGCACCTGGAAGGAGAAAGGGCGGTGCCTCTGAAGGGCCCTGGTCGAAGCACGTGGGTCACGGTCACCATGCCAACCCAATGGGATTAGTACACGCATGTGATGGCTGCTTTGTCCATGAGGGCACTTTTGCTGGGCTGATAGAGGGGTGCGCAGACTGAACAGGCTAATGCAGACGCTCCCAGACCGTCTATAAACATTTCTTGACGTGGATCCGATCTGTCCACTGGCTGTGATCGTCGTCCTGATTGCGATGTTAAATAATTCCTGAGCGACCTTGGGGGCAGTCCTTAAATAGGCCTCTTGATCAGCCATGTCTGACCAAATGAAAAGCGTATTGTCACTGCATGTGCATGTGGACAGTAGGCTGGATTTCATGCAGAACTCCTTGGACCAAATCTTGGACCTTTTGCAAAGGCTAGGATTACCGCCAGCACCACAGTCGCCGTTGCCGTTAACGGCGATGTCAGGCCCCTTTCCGGTACAAGCTGGCACACAGCCAAGTGGTACGTCTGCAGCAGCTACACAGAGTGTTGCTTCTTCTTCTTCTGGTCCAGCGGTGATAGCTACACAATCACCGCAACAAACTGTTCCACCACAGGGACAGCAGCGAGGTCCATGGTACCCAAAGACCCCAATGAAACCGCCCCTTGCCTTCTCCGGTGAGAGGAAGGACGAGGAACTCGACACTTGGTTGAGAACAGTTCCAATGTGGATAAGGGCAAAGAGGACGTTGCAGGAGGAGGAGATGATTACTGCTGCATCTTACATTGAGGGTAAGGCAGCCAAATGGCTGGATGGGATAGTAGCGAAGGCCGGGTTTGGACGACGCATGGCAGATTGGGGTAAAACCTTCACTTTAGAGGAGTTCTTGGATATGGTAGAAGCTCGCTGGCATAATCCGTAGCAGGCACAAATTGCCACTGACGCAATGTTGAGACTGGACCAGCGTAGGTACAAGTCTGTCAGAGAGCTAACGTCTACTGTAGAGAACCTCGTCGTCGTGCCCGGTATACGCTATGATGACCAGGTCTTATTGACCATGTTTCTGAGATGTCTGCCCGAGAATCTCAGGACCTTACAGATGCCCCCGGAAGAATGGTATGATGTTTTGATACCCAAGGACGAAAAGAGACTCACAGACAGACAGAGTGAACCATGCATGCTACATGATACTCTCCTTTTGAGCCTTCAGGTGCTCAATGAAACCTTTCTTCACCTAAGGTGTATAGCATACATCACTCCAGGATTCTGAACTGGAATCTGTAACATGGTTAAATCAGGGTGAAGCTCATATCCGGGATGTGCTGCCCAGTGAGACGACTCCAGGTACGTCTTCACTTGGACCATACAGCAATACAAACCCGGAACAAAGGGAAAAACAAAAAAGGAAGCAAAATGCAGCTTAATATTTCAAATGCATATCAGGGTGCATTATGGGGCAAATGCACCGGGCCACTGCCAGGTTCGACCTAGCAGGTCAAAAAGCTGGCAGCTCCTGGCTGATCGTGACCCCACAGTAGTTCAGAAGCTGCTGCAAAATTGAGTATACGGAAAAACAGGCTAAAGTGTCCCACACTGATGACACATATTTCTGCTCCTGCACAATCAGCAATGGCAGATCAGAATCAACCTTCTCAATAGACAAGGGGTGTTTCTAATTTTGCTTTGCTCTCACTTGGAGTTGGGTGCCCGCCTCATCTCCTGCTTTCTATTTGGAGGTCGTCCACTGTAGAAAAACCCTGTTGCTTCCAAGGCTTGATGTGCCAGTGCGCCCAGTCCCTCCAAAACATTTTGTGATTTACTGCACATCACAACAACGAGCCAAGATCAGTTGGGACACCCACAAACGGCTCAAATACAGACCCAATTTCGAATCCAGATACAAATAGATGACCAGATTCTGAATTACCTGGGGCTGATCGTATCTGAAGGCCATCGCCCTTTTGAAAAGCCCATAAACGATCCAGAAACAGTTAGCAACCATTCAATGCTAAACCTAGGAGAGTACCCTTTTTTTCATAGCCAATATTCAGACATCACTTGTTCACTGCTAACTTTAGAAGTCCCCTACTCTTCATTAACAGGCCGAGACCACTCATTCACTGCTACGGCTTGAACTTCCATTGCTTTCACCAGCCATCCAGGAGTTAGTTAGCACCGACTTTTCCAAGAAAAGAAAAACAAAGGGGATTTGAATGAAGAACTCAATTTGTTTGCTACGAGTTACTCGCGTGTACCATCCAGTACAGATTCATTCACTCTCAACTCGAGTTCCCTCTGTCTGTTCAACCAATCCACCAAGAGTCAGTTACCACTCATTCACTGCTGTGTTTTCCTTCCCAAAAGGTGTGCTCGGGTCGCCCCATCACCAGCCATCCAGGAGTTAGTTAGCAACTTAGCACTGACTTTTCCAAGAAAAGAAAAACAAAGGGGATTTGAATGAAGAACTCAATCTGTTTGCTACGAGTTATTCGCGTGTGCCATCCAATACAGATTCATTCACTCTCAACTCAAGTTCCCTCTGTCTGTTCAACCAATCCACCAAGACTGCATGCTGAACACCCCATTTGGTGTATGTGTATAGTAGGTGAGGTTGGACACTTGTAGCAGGCATTTAGACCTTATCAGCAGCTTGTTGGAGCCATGTTTTTGGAAAAGCAGAGACTTCTGAGAGGAGCAGTGGATGGGGGCTAACTGACTCTGGGCTGCTTGCTGGCAAGAGGGAACTCCTAAAATAGCAGCAAAGCAGTGCGTCTCCTAGTGCCTATGGCTGAATGGTACCCACATGTATCTGTTGACGAGTTCAAATCCTGCCGGAAACCGATGGATCAATAATATTTGGGGCGACTCGAGCACACCTTTTGGGAAGCATGTGCCTATATCAGCAAGAATGACTATGAAGCTAGGAAGGGAAACCAGCACTTACAGGCCGTGAAGAGGGCCACTCAATCTGATTCTGGAGATTGACGAATAGCCCTCCTCTGGATAAGATCCACGGAGAGGATTCTAATTCACAGAAAACTTCACAAGTGTTTAACGGGGACCCCCACTTTTCGACCCTGGGTAACGATGAATGATCCTGAAATTAGGGTTTCGGGGTCAAATTTTGTGTTTTTTTGGATTTTTTTTTTTTTGCCTGTTTTTGTTTTAGGACAAGCTTGCTGTGTGTCAAATTTGGTGTCATTTGGGTTATTAGAATTTGTGCTGTTAATCATCCTGAAAATCCTGAAATTTTGATGAAGCTGTTTTTTGGCAAAATTGCCTGAAAATGCACTTTTGAGTTGCTGTTTATGTGTTTTTAATTTGTTTTTTTTTGTGTTTGTTTTATAATATGTTAGTAAGAAGTGCACTCTATAGATTGGTGTGAAGTTTGCTTGGGATGGCCTTATGGTTTTCTTATAAATTGAGGTGAAAAATGGGGGCTCGGTTAACCTTTTCTCAGAAAACTACATGTGGAGAATCCAGAAACTTACCCAGGGAATGCGATAGTCTTATCAGAATACAGCTGCGTCAAGTTGAACCTGCTAAATGCTCGATATTCACGAAAGGATCCATTTCTCACCACCCTCACTGAGCAACTATTGTGAGCATCTATAATGAACAAATTCCCTAGGCTGAAGTCCGGGCCGCCCGGCGGCCGGCTCGTCGCCCGGGGGGGGGGGCCGGGCCGCCTGGCCGGTCGTTCCGCCCGGTTGGGCACCGGGCGACCCCAGCGCATCGTCGAGGTTTTTTTTTTTTTTTTTTTTTTCGTCGCTGGGGGGCTTCTCCCCCCCAAAGGAGGCCGTGGATGGAAAAAAAAAAATAAAAAATAGAAGGGCCGGTAGGCCCGATTCGAATAATTTCAAATCGGGGACCATCTGCGCCGTCGATCTCCAGGATCGACAGCCCAGATGGGCCGCAATTGCAATAGTTCAAATTGGGCCTACCGGCCCTTTTTTTTCATGTGTTGCTTCTAGTTTCCCGCCCAATTGTTCACTATGCCCGACCCGACGCCTCACTTCGGCCGACGAGTGCATTCGTCGTCGCCTTCGAAGCCCGCGCCCGCCAACGCAGTCGACGCCCCCCCGATGCCGGCGAAGAACACCATCGAGCTGCCCGCCGACGCCCCCCGACGCCCCCCGACGCGCGCCACGGTGAGTGTGTTAGTACGAGAGAGAGAGAGAGAGAGAGAGAGAGAGAGAGAGAGAGAGAGANATCTTCTTCTTCTTCCTCCTCTTATCCTCCTCTTCTTCTTCTTCTTCCTCCTTTTATCCTCTTCCTCTTCTTCTTCCTCTTCTTCTTCCTCCTCTTATCCTCCTCTTCTTCTTCTTCTTCCTCTTCTTCCTCCTCTTATCTTCCTCCTCTTATCCTCTCTTCTTCTTCCTCCTCTTATCCTCTTCTTCTTCTTCTTCCTCCTCTTATCCTCCTCCTCCTCTTCTTCTTCTTCTTCTTCTTCTTCTTCTTCTTCTCCTTCTTCTTCTTCTTCTCCTCGTCCTCTTCTTCTTCTTCTTCTTCTTCTTCTTCTTCTTCTTCTTCTTCTTCTATTTCTTCTTCTTCTCCTCCTCCTCCTCCTCTTCTTCTTCTTCCTCTTCTTGCCCCCCCTGCCCGCCTTCAGCGATCACCAGTTCCAATTTTTTTTGTTTTTTTAATCTGCCTCGTGCGCGCGCGTGTTGGGCCGCGTCTCCTACACCACCCCCCTTCTTCTTCTTCTTCTTCTTCTTCTTCCCACCCTTTCTCAGCCCCCGCCCTCCATCCTTTCTCGCCCTCCCTTTCTCACCCCTTGCCCATATTCCAGCTTCATCTTCTTCTTCTTCTTCTTCTCGCCCACCCTTTCACACCCCTCTCCCATCTTTTTCTTCATCTTCTTCTTCCTCCTCCTCTTCTCCTCCTCCTCCTCTTCTTCTTCTTCCCATCTTTTTCTTCATCTTCTTCTTCCTCCTCTTCTCCTCCTCCTCCTCCTCTTCTTCTTCTTCTTCTTCTTCTTCTTCTTCTTCTTCTTGACCCCTCCTGCCCGCCATCACCAACCCCCCCTGAGACCCTCCGCTGACATCCCTCCCCCAGCATCTCCCCCCCCACACACACAATCCCCGAAGTACTTTTTTATTGCAGATTCGGGGTCCTCTAGTGCAGCACTGCACAACCCCACCTTCGGAAAAAAAAAAAAAAAATTCCTTGCTATGTTTTTGCGACGCCCGGTTCAGCCGGGCGGACCCCCCCGGGCCCAACCGGCCGGGGTCCGCCCGGCCGGGCGCCGGCCCAGCCTAGCAAATTCCTAGATATGCTCAGATCGAACGCACACAATTTACTCTAGCATTTGTCATCTTACTGCATAGAATGATGTGCATCATTCAGCTCATGGGGGTGAATGATATATATTTGCCGGTCAAGCTATCATGCGTTTGGACCTTGCTGGGTCGGATGGATACAATAATTTGCAGCCTAGGTGCTACGCCCAATGTTGACTTCTATCCAAAATCCATCCCCATGAAAGTGCACTGCATGACACTAAAGTGACTAAACACCACATCCATCAAGATCATACTTACTGGAACACACCGTGTACACACTTCCGTAGGTGCCATCAAGATCATACTTACTGGAACACACCGTGTACACCACATCCATCTAGGGAAGTTTTGCGTAGTTTATTTTTAGGAGTGTCATAACGCAACAGGTAATTTTGGCTATAAGAAGACTTCTGCTAACTTAGTACAACGATTTTGGTGGCCTGACATGCTTGACGATGTAAAGAAATACGTGCAGACTCGTCAAGTCTGTCAGCGGGACAAGCCGCGAACTCAAGCACCGCTTGGGCTATTGAAGCCTCTACCCATTCCTGCTGGTCCGGGACAGAGTGTTTCCATGGATTTCATGGATACCCTCGTGACCAGCAAGAGTGGCAAAAGGCATATCTTCGTCGTAGTCGATAGGTTCACTAAGTACGCTAGACTAATCGCGATGCCGGAGACTGCCAGGACTGAACACGTCATCAAGTTGTTCAAGGACAACTGGGTGCGTAATGTTGGACTGCCAAACACCATTGTTAGTGATAGAGATGCTCGGTTTACCAGTGAGATGTGGAAGAAGGCCGCTGAGCAGATGGGCAGCCGGCTTCCGATGACTTCTGGGGTCATCCTGAAGCAAATGGGCAGGCTGAACAGATGAACCGTGTGGTACGGCATCTGCTGAGGCAATATATCAAGCCCAGCCAGGATGACTGGAATGAGAAACAACCTCTCATCGCCAGTCTGTACAATAACGCTGTACATATCACCACCGCCGTTAGTCCTAATCAGCTGCATCTGGGATGGATGCCTAGATCTGCTCTAGACTTCCTCCTGCCTGAAAACCGAACTGTTGCAACTCCTGGAACCATTGAGTTTGGTGTCCAGTACGAGAAATTGTTACAGCAGACTCTCGAACACATCAGGAAATCTCAGGAAGCCATGATTGCTTATGAGAACAAGCATCGCCGACAGTCCACATTTTAGGTAGGGGAACATGTCTGGGTCAAGGCTAGTGTGACGGGGCTGAGGCAACGAGGCTGGGAGAGAGAGGGAGAGGGTGAGAGCACACACACACACTCACTCAACTCGACGCAGACTCGACACGACTCGGCAGACGAAGACACAAAGTGGCAAAGTCGCAAAGTCGAAGTCTTAGATTTCCGAACACAATGTTGAAGCAAGTCACACTGAATACGAGTACAGCAGAAAACTGGTACGAGACTGGTCCCCATACCGTACGGGGAGCCGGTATAAGTACCTGTGACACATATGGTACCAGGGGCATTTCTGCAAAGGCCCCAAGGGCAGAACTGAA